CCTGTGAAGGAGTCAGATTTTCCTTTTTTTTTTTTTGCTTTTGGGCTGGAGCAATAGCACAGCGGTAGGGCGTTTGCCTTGCACGCAGCCAACATGGCCGACCCGAGTTCGATTCCTCCGGCCCTCTCGGAGAGCCCGGCAAGCTACTGAGAGTATTTCGCCCGCACGGCAGAGCCTGGCAAGCTCCCCGTGACGTATTCGATATGCCAAACACAGTAACAACAAAGTCTCCAATGGAGACGTTGCTGGGCCCGCTCAAGCAAATCGAAGATCAACGGGAGGGCCTTTCCTTTACTTTACTTTTTTGCTTTTTGTGTCACACCTGGTGTTGCACAGGAGTTACTCCTGGTTCATGCACTCAGGAATTACTCCCGGTGGTGCTCGGGAGACCATATAGATGCTGGGAATCGAACCTAGGTCGGCTGTGTGCAAGGCAAATGCCCTACCCGCTGTGCTATTGCTCCAGCCCCCAGATTTTCCTATTTTTTAAACTTCTTTTTGCAGTGCTGGGGATCCAACCTAGGGCATCACACATGCAAGGTCAAAGTCCTCCTGGTCCTATTTTTCACTTTTAAATTTGTATTTTGTTTTTGGCCACACCCAGCGGTGCTCAGGGATTACTCCTGACTCTGCATCAGGGATCATTCCTGGCAGGGCTCAGGGACCATCTGGGGTTCCTGGGATTGAACCCAGATTGGCTGCATGCAGGGCAAACGCCTTACCTCCTGTCCTATCTCTCTGGCCCTTCACTTTTACTCTTTCGGCACTGTAGTCTTTTCTAAGGACACGGGATGACAGGAGCCAGTTGCTCTCATCAGTTGGCTGATTAAAGGTGTCCCGAGGGAACCACCCTGCCCAGTGTCCCTCTCTGCCGGTCCTTAGAAAGTTCTTGTGCTGATTAAATTGACCTTTACAGTGGATGAGCTAAGAATAGCGCTGTTAGGACCTGGAAACCGTTAAGGAAAATGTTGTTAGTCCCACGGTTTCCGTTGCCATCAGAATTGAGATAATTTTTTGCACATGTGCAAAAGGCAAACTGCTCGTCCCTTTCCATCGTAAAAAATGTTCTTTCCAGTTCCGCCGGGGTCTTGCGTGTCTTTTGCACCCATGCCTTTGGCTTGGCAGCCGCCGGTACTATGTTCTCTTGGAGCCGGTCCCAGAAAGTGTAGTAGTAGTGTCAGGTCGGGGTCACCTCATCTGACAGACTCAGCCACTTCTACCAGGACTGGCTCTCGGGAGTCCTCTAGGAGAGCTAGAATCTGTCCTTCATGCTGGGGGGGCAGCCTGGGGCACACCCCCGGTTACCAGGCTTCCCCCCCCAGACTCCAGGCGCTCAGCCGCTCCCCGATCAGCCCACCGTTATGCCCTGTTACGGGTCTTTTTTTTTTGCTTTTTGGGTCACGCCTGGTGTTGCACAGGGGTTACTCCTGCTCATGCACTTAGCAATTACTCCTAACAGTGCTTGGGGGACCATATGGGATGCTGGGAATCAAACCCGAAGTCGGCCATGTGCAAAGCAAACACCCCACCCACTGTGCTATAGCTCCAGCCCCATGTTACAGGTCAGTAGGATAGTTTTGTTTGACTTATGCGCCCTCCTCATTCCCTTGGTTGGTGGTGACACACTGGTGGTACCTGGGGGTCACACCTCCGGTGGCAGCGCTCGCTGGTGTCCACTTTCCTTTAGCCCTAGTGCTGGCCTGTCAGAGGGTGGTGCATCTTTTGAGCTGTGGTATTCGCTGGTCATACGGCACCCCTCTATGTGATCTTTACACATACCTGGTTGCAGTGTCGCTGGAAATCATTTGTGCAGGGGCCGCAGGCAGGAGAGCTTCCCGGGAACAAACATGCCTAGGGCTTTGGGACGCTGGGAATCTGTTAGTTTGAGTATGGTTTTTGGTTTTTGGCGGGGGCGTGGGGGGCGCACACCTGGTGATGCTCAAGGATCGATCACTCCTGATGGGCTCGGGGGGACCATATGGAATTCTGGGAATTGAACCCAAGTTGGCTGCGTGCAAGGTAAGCTCCCTACCTACTCTCCTGTCGCCCGACCCCTATGACATTGGGGATCTGACTCATGGCCAAGGCTTACAAGACAGGTGGTGCTCTTAGCCTGTGTACTGGTCCTCGGGGCTCCCTGCTATAGATCTTGAGTCCACTCTTTTTGTCTTCCTTATATGTCCACCTTCTTTCCTTCTGCAGCAGGAAATGTCAGTTCTCAGCCAAGACTATCTCCGGCAGCTTGGGGGCTGTAATTGGGGACAAGGGAGGAACGACAGGAGTGAGCTATACTGGGCAGAAAGTACTTGGGGGACACGGGGTTCATGATGTGCCTTGGGGCCTGCTCTCAGAGGAATGTAGAGGCGGGCAGGAAGAAGGCGTGGGGGCCTGTCAGCCCTGGTCCCTGCCCTGGGGTTGGAGGTGCCCAGAGAGGAGCTGATGGCAGGGGGTCACGAGGATGCCACTTGTTTAGATTTCAGACACATTCCATTCCACGCCTCGCGTAGGACCAGCTGGCGGCCTGTGCTCGGAGCCTGGACCTTGGTGGCTGGTGAATTTTCGCGAGGCAGAAGCGTCACTGGATTCTTTTCCTGTGCCGTAGGCAACGCGGACTCTTTTAGAAACTACGGGGACATTTTGAACTGTTCTGGGGGAGATGGTGCCAAAATAATGGCATTTCGGGGCCTGGTAAACTCCAGAGAACCACTCTGGGTCCTTGTGAAAATGGGTGCTGGGCCCTGGGCGTCCGAGAGCGTGTGCTGGGGCAGAAGCGGCCGGGCAAGATCTGCCGTCTCAGAGCGGCCTGACGGGCCAGCCAGCCACTCGGCAGTGGGGGCCGGAGAGATAGGACAGTGGTTAGTTAGGGCACTTGCCTTGCACATAACCGATCTGAGTTCGATCCCCGGTACCCCATATGGTCCCCCTCACGGCCAGGTGTGCTTCCTGAGCTCAGAGCCAGAAGTAACCCCCCAAGTATCACCAGTTGTGGATCTAGAACATTGCAACATGGCAAAAGAGCTAACGAAGCCTTTCCTATGTTTCCGTCGGCCTAAGTCCCTTTACGCTCACCAAGATCAGGGTATGTGGTGGGCCCCACACTCAGCCATGCTTCTCCTCTTCATTGGGGTGGGAGCTCCGTCTTGGTGGCGCTAAGAGGCTGTGCCTGGCTCTGTGAGGAGTAGTGGGGGGCCCTTGCAGTGCCAGGGATGGAGTTAGACCTCCTGCATGCATGCAGAGCATGCCTTTTAGCCCTGCCAGGCGTGTCCCCAGCCCCGGGCGCTGCTTTTTTTAAACATGCCCTTTGTCTACAGGTGCTGAGCTCGTGCCGCCCGGCCCTGGCTTGGGGATACGTGAGTGCTTTGTCCATACCCTGGGCCAAGTAGATAGTGTGGCCAAGCAAGGCCCAGGGAGGTGGCCAGGACCACGTGACTTCAGTTTCCACTGGCAGGCGCCCGCCCGGATATGCACCAGGCAGGGTCAGCCCGTGGGGCCGCAAATACAATACGCCAGTTTTAGTTTCTTTGCCCAGCAAGGTTTCTTTTTCCCTTCCAAACTCTGAGCTCTTGAGCAGAGGGACAGTGTTGCATTCATCTCGGTGTCCCTGTGCCCCAAACAGTGCTTGGTACAAAGGCCATATCCAGAGGATGTGGTGGTTCTTCCTTGAAAGAAGTATGGGAAGCCAGAGAGACCAGAAACCCACAGGCCTCCTCTGGTGCTTTGGGGCCCGGAGTGAAGCAGGGGCCACGGTTCAGGTCGGTGGAGGTGGTAGAATGTTCCCTAGTGTTGTTTGGGAGCCAAACCTGGCAGTGCTCAGGGGACCACGTGGTACCAGGGATGGAACCCAGGCAAGGCACATGCTCCAGTGCTTGGAGCCTCTCCCTGCTCTATTTCCTATCTTGACCGTGGAATTAGGAGAGCTCCTTGCCTTCTGTTTCCACCTAGCAGTGCTGGGAATAGAATTTGGCAAACGCCACGGTTACTCATCCATCGGTGCCCTCATGGGGATAGAGCTGTTCCTGAGTAGAGTGCCTGGGTCCACTCGAGATCATTCAGTAAGCAAAAGAGATCCAGCAAGCTGAACTCGAACTTGGTGACTTGAGCATCTTTTTGGAAGGATTTTAATAGCAGGCTCTGTGTTTATTTGGTTTTGGTGATAACTCGGTGGTACCATGCGATGCCAGGGATCAAACCTGCGTGCAAAGCACATGCTCTAGGCATTTTGTTGTTTGTCTTGGGTTTTATGTTTTTGGGTCACACCTGATGATACTCAGGGGTGACTTTCTGGTGCTGCACTCAGGAATTACTCCTGGCAGTACTGGGAGACCATATCGGAAGCCGGAGTTTGAGCCTGAGTCGGCCACATGCAAGGCAATCGCCCAACCCGCTGTCCGATTGCCCCAGCCGTGCTGTAGGCTTTTGAACCATCTCCCCAGCTCCAAAACATGAAGTGTTTCCACTCGGACATCAGTCCTTTCTGGCTAAGGAGAAAGGACTCCTGTTGCCTTTGTGTATTGAATCCTGTCTACCCCTCCTACCTTTAATAAAGATTTTTCCCCTTTAAAATTGCTGTTGTGTCATTCTTTTAAAAAAAAAGTTTTCCCTTTCCTTTAAAAAAAAAAATATATATATATATATATTTTCCGCTTCCCATCCCTTTGTTGCTGTGACCAGGATTTGCACCCTCACTCCCCAGTGTTACACGCTTTCACACATTTCTGGTGATAGCCTGGCGGTATTCACACGCTCTGGTTCTGGTGCCGGGAACCCAAACAGCGGAGCTGCGCGGACTGTGCCAGGCGCGGCCCAGGGGGCAGCGCACAGTCTCGCGCCCGCAGAGCGAGGGCACTGTGGTCCCTTCCATTTTGTAGCGGAATGACCCTCGGTGCAGCCCTCTTTGGTGGCGGGAAAGCAAACAGCCAGGAGAAGCGGGGGTGAGAGACACTGTTCAAGGAACTCAAGCCCCATGTGCTCAAGTGCCTTTCGTTCTGTTGCTTTTCCAGGATAAGGAAACCTGCGTGGGCACCAACAATCAGAGCTACATCTGCGACACAGGACACTGCTGCGGCCAGTCTCAGTGCTGCAACTACTACTACGAACTCTGGTGTAAGCCTCCACCCGGGGCTGCGGGGACCCCAGGGCTGCGCGTCTCTGCTGGCCGCTAAACTTGGGGCCGTCAGGCCTCTTCTCATTCTCACCAGTAGAATCTCTTTCCAGGCTCCAGAAACAAGATGTGTTTTTTTTTTTGTTTGTTTCATTTTCTTTTGTTTTGTTGTTGGGCTGCTCCTGGCTTAGTGCTCGGCGGGGTAGGGGGGTGGGATGGAACCCAGGACACACACCAACTCCGGCCCATTGCGCTGGCTCTTCTGGGTTGAAACCTGCTGGAGCTCCTGCCCAGGGGGGGCTCAGATGCCCTCTGTAGGGAACTGTCTCTGGGCAATGACAGCAACTTGGGTTCTTCCTGGGGAGCCCGCCCAGGGGCCAGGCCGGTCCCCTCTGCAGAGAAGGGCTGTGACTGCTGGGTGGGCCTCTCCAGATGGCGACAGGCCATGTCCTCGTCAGCACCCCATAGAGCAGCCAGGGGCTGACTCCGTTCCCAAGGATTCTTTGAAAAGGAATAATCTTTCTTGGGGGCCCCCTGCCCATGGAGGCCCCGGGGAGAGAGAGGAATTCCAGGGCTCAGCCCTCTGCTTCTTTGCCAGTTCTCTCTGTCTCTGTGTCTCTATTCTGGGCCACACCCTGTAGTGCTTAGGGGTCGCTCCCAGCAGTGCTCAGGGCTGTGGCAGTGTCGAGATCTTCCCCGGCAGGCTTCTCCTGCTGCTTGTCCGCTCCAGGCCACAGGACATCCTCCTCCTCCAGCCCCTCAGCAGGCAGGGCAGTGCCACCTGGCTCCTGGGAGCAGCGCGGCCTTGTAGCCACTAACTCATCTGTCCTCTGACCCTGGCTGTCCTGCGGGACCCTCTAGGCAGCTGGAAGGGGAGGATGGAGGGTGCCGGCCTGGCTGTGTCCCCACGTCCGTCTCCTGGGAGAGGGAAGATAGGCCGTGTGCCGGGCTCATCTCCCCCCCTTGTAATATTTTTAATTTTTGGTTTGGGGGCCACGCCCGGCGGTCCTCGGGGCTCCTCTCGGCTCTGTGCTCAGGAGTTGCTTCTAGGATGCTCTGGGAACCATCTGTGGCGGCCAGGACCAAACCAGGCCTCCTGCATGTGACACAATGCCTGCGCCCTGCCCCCACCCAGTGCCTTCCCCAGCTGACCGCAGGCCTGTCTCCACGCCCCCCACCCATGGACACACACTCCAGGCTTGTTCAGCACCGCGTCCTCACTGCCCCCCTCGCCACCACCGACCCTGTCCTGCTTCCCCTTCTCCCTCCTCATCCCTGTGATCCCCTCCCCCTGGCCTGGCTGCTGGTGGTCAGCTGCAGCTGGAAGGACTGTCATTTGGCCGTGGAAGGAAACTAGACTCTGAGCCGTGGGAATCCCTCCCTCTGAACTGCAAACGTAAATGAGGGCCCGCGGGAGTGTTCTGTAAACAGGGCCGCTCCCTTTCTCCCTTTCCAGGACTGCCCCCCCCCCTCCCGCTCTGCCCTTCTGGGAACTGTGGGGTCACTTAAGTGCAGGCTCCCCTCCCAGCGGTGGCCACCGGCTCAAGATGTTCCCCCCCCACCCCCACCCCCAGCCCTCCACTCCACTTGTGTGAGCAGCAGCAGGGTCCCCAGAGTGGTCGTTGCTGATGGTGACTGGGGTTGGAGGTGGTTGGGGTGGGGTGCCGAGGGGAGGGGTACACAGCATGCCAAGCAGGTGGACAGACTGTATTTAAATGTTTTAAAATGGAGATAACCACTGGGTTCAGATTCTCCCTCCCACCCCTTGTTAAAACACAAGTTGAGGCCCAGCTGCCAAAAAGGCCGCGGAGACACAGTTTGTTTCTCTGGGGCCGGGCCCAGGCAGCATCAGTTGCAGGGCCCTGCGGAGGGCGGCGGTAGGCTCAGAGCCACGGGTGGGGCCGACTCTGGCACTGAGGCACCAAGGCCAGGAGGCTGGGAGGCAGTGTGAGACCCTTGCCCCGGGTCTATAGACCGCCTCTGCGCTCAGCAGTGCTCAGTTGGGGGAAGAGGCAGCCGGGAGAGACCAGAGTCTGCATGGGGAGAGCAGCCTCGCCATCACAGCTCTCCCCGTTCTGGAAGGCCAGAGAGACTTTCGTCTGTGCCCCAGCGTTGCTTGCGTGGCCAGGAGCTGGCTGCCCAGAGTGTGCCCCCCCTCCCCCGTCTCTGTTGCCTGGGTTTCCCATAAGGGAGATGTTGGGATGCTGGAACAAGACTACTGCAGGTCTCATCAGCTTTTGTTCCTTTGAGCCCCCATCCCCTCAAACTGCCTCTCAACTTCACTTGTAATGTGAAAGGAAGGGATTTGGGTGATTGGTTTTGTCTCTTTCCTTCGGAAGGAAAAAGTCCGAGCCAGGAAATCCTTGGTGGAGTTCCCATCTGACAAAGGACTTCCTTAACCAGAGCTGCCCACGGGGAAGGAAAACAGGGGAGAACGTGTGGTTTTCACTGATCTTTTTACTTCTACCAAGCTGAATTTTCAAACCATGTACTGGTATGTGTGTTGCGCACGCACATAGACATACACACAACACACACACACCGAGTTTTTGATTCCCTGATTGAAGTGGACCCAAGAACTTGCAACTCTAACATTTATTACTGGGTGCCATGGCCTCTGGGAGTGGAGGGCAAGCATTAAAGAAACCCCTGGCCTTCAGGGGTCTCTCCTGGCTGGTGTCCCACTTGTAACGAAGTAGACAGTGAAAATGTGTGTCCCAGAATGACTTGTGAGCATTCAGAGGAGAGTTCACTTCCTCTGGCCAGGACTCTGTCAGGCTGTGGGGACGAGGTGGCATTTGAAGTGGGCCATATAGCATGGCAGTCTCCTCAGTCCCACGGAGGGAGGAGAGGGCTTCCCCGCCGAGGAAGCCTGGGAACACAGGAGTAACCGTGCAGGCCCAGCGCTGTGGGCCAGAGCAGAGGAAGCCGGCCTGGCCTGGGCGGAGATGGAGGCGCTGGTGGCCACACACTCTCCCACATGCTGGGCACTGAGTGAGGCCGTCTTGCTGAAGAGCGCCGCGTTTCCCCCCAAGAACAGCCTGCCCGGTGCCACCTCCAGCCCTGGAGTCAGGGCCCAGTCAAGCAACTTAGTTGGTCCCATCTAGGAAGAAGGAGCTGCGTGTGACTCCAGGGCTGCTCCCCTTCTAGAACACCGGGTGGACTGAGGAAGTAGGATGTGCTTGTTCGTGCCGTGCCCACCTCAGGCCCGTCTCCCTGGACATGTGAGCACTGAGGAAGGCCCGCCAACGGGAGCAACGCGGGTCTGGGTCTCCCAGCTCTTGTCCTGGGCCTTTCCCCCAACACATGATGTAGAGAAAGGTCATTTGGGGTGATTTTGCTTCGGCACCACTCTCCCTCCCACCCCTCATTTGGGATGTTAGTTGGGAGAAAGGGAATGTTTCTAGAGCGAGCAGGTTCCTGGTTTTTGGCAAATTCACCTAACACTGCGGGTTTTCCTTTTTTTTTTTTTTTTTTTGAGTGGGGGTCACACCCAGCAGTCCTCAGGGGCTACTCCTGGCTCTGCGCTCAGGGATTAGTACTGGCGGTGCTTGGGGGGCCATATGGGATGCCGGGGATTGAACCTTGGTCTGCAACATGCAAGGCAAACGCCCTACCTGCTGTGCTATCATTCTGGCCCCACACTGCTGGTTTTTCACCTGCTAGCTAACATCCTTCCTCTCCTGCCTTCCCTCCCCTTGCCTCCCTTCTCTCAGAACCCCACCGCCTCAGAGCTTGGGGTTCCTCCTAGCAGCGCCGGAGCATAGGAGGTGCTGGGATCAGAGGATCAGACCCAGGGCAGCCCATTGAATTCTCTGACCCCAACATCTTTTTTTTTTTTTCTTTTTGGGTCACACTTGGCAATGCACAGGGGTTACTCCTGGCTCTATACTCAGGACTTATTTAAGGCGGTGCTCAGGGGGACCATATGGGATGCCGGGAATCAAACCCAGGTCGGCTGAGTGCAAGGCAAACACCCTACCCACTATGCTCTTGCTCCAGCCCTCCAGTGCCTTTGCTTCGTTTTTGTTTTTGTTTTTGTTTTTAGGAGGTGGCTGGGGGTTGGATCCCACTCAGCTGTGCTCAGGGACCACTCATGGCAAGGCAAGTGCCTGACCCACTGTACTCACTCATTGGCCCCAGATCCTATAGTCTTTCCCCAGCCAGACCTTTTCTACGGTGGCAGGGTCGGGGCCCCTTTGGAGCCTCCAGTGGGGCAGGGAGGTCCCCCACCACTCTGTGGGAGAGAAGGAGATAATTTCCAGCCTGCTTTGGCTTTTCTAAGGAGGAATTTCCTGCCCGTGGGGGAGTGGTGTTTTCCCTGAGAGTTTATAGTGGACTCTGGGCACATGACTCAGTTCCTACACTGGATTGTCTGTTTTTAAAAACATGTTTTCCATTTTGCTTAGCATGACAAATGCTTCCCACCATGAGGTCACGGTTTTGAAAATTGGAATGTGGTCTCTGGGTCGGTGTGTGTCTGGGGGCAAGGTCTTTGTCTTTTTATGAGAGTTCCTTTTTCATTTATTTTCTTTTTTTTTATTCTTCCCCCTCCCCCTGACCGTTACCAGAGTGACCAGGGTCTCATACACTTAGTTGCAGGGTATAGCGGCCTCACTCTGTGTGTGTGTGTGTGTGTCTGTGTGTGTGTGTGTGTGTGTGTGTGTGTGTGTGTGTGAGTGTCTCACTTGGAATCACAGTTGGCATGTGGGGTGTTGCCAGGGATCAAATGTGCTAACTTAGCCTATAAGGTAAGTGTACTACCACCGGGCCACATCCCCGGGCCTGCAAGACTTGCTTTTCAAAGTCAGTCCTCCTCATTGGAGAAATCTGGGGGGGGGGGAATTGAAGGTTTGTACATCTCAAGGGGTCTGGTCTAGATTTCACACAGAAACCCCCACATACCCCACTAGAATTGGGGAGAACCTGCTTTGACTAGAATCATTTCTGCAGTGAATCTGTATTTGTGAGGTCAAGTCAAATATATATTTTTTATTTGGGGCTCACTCTGCTGTGCTCGGGGATCACTCCTGATGGAGCTGGGGGACCAGTGAGGTGCCGGATCAGACCAGATTGGTCCCTTACCCTGGGGCTATCTCTCACCTCCAAGGATTCTAAACAGAAAATTATAATGACAAAGTAGAAGTTTTAAAGTACATGTAGCACTGGTAATGGAAACAAGTAGAACTTTTTCAGGACAAGAAAAAGAATAGACCATAAAAAAATCTCTTCTCAATAATTTGCTTTAGAATTTTTTATTGATTAAAAAAAAAGATCTTTTTTTTCTCTTTTTGGGTCACACCTGGCGATGCACAGGGGTTATTCCTGGCTCTGCACTCAGGAGTTACTCCTGGTGGTGCTCAGGGGACCATATGGGATGCTGGGAATCGAACCTGGGTCGGCTGTGTGCAAAGCAAATGCCCTACCTGCTGTGCTATTTCTCCAGCCCCCCAAAAAGAAATTTTCATTGGTGAAAAACATTCATTAAAAAAAGAAAAGGGTCAGAGTGATAGCAGAGCGTTGAAGGGCATTTGTCTTGCACGCAGCCGACCTGGGTTCGATCCTTGGCCTCCCATGGGGTCCCCTGAGCATCACCAGGAGTAATTCCTGAGTGCAGAGCCAGGAGTAGGCCCTAAGGCAGGTATGACCCAAAAAGCCAAAATAAAAACAAAACGAAACAAAAAAAAACAGGAAAAAAAACACCAAAAGCCAAAGTAAAAACCATTCTTTTTCTTACAACTCTTAGGAAAAAAATTAGGAAAAGTGAGCAAGCAAAAAACTGCAGAATCTAGTGTTAAAGAGTCCACTGTGTTATTTAGGAGGAAGCTAGTAATCAACTCCGTGGCCATGTTTGGGGGGAAGCATGGTTTGGGCCGCACCCGGTGTGCTCAGGGCTTCCTTCAGCCTGTGCTGAAGGGTCACTCCTAGTGAGCCGGGGATTCAGCCTATGTCAGTTATCTGCAAGACACGTACTTTACCTACAACTATACTATTTCTTTGTCCCCTATACATCATTTTAAGTGATTCATATTTCAAAGTAAAAAATTGGGTCAAAAAAATGTATCTATAGTGCCAAGAATTGAACATGCAAAGGCAGACACTCCGGCTGGACCCTCCCAATGTGATTCTGCAGCTGCTGCTGTTTTTTGGGTTTTTTTTTGGTTTTAATTTTGTTCTTTTCTGGCCACACCCAGTGGTGCTTACTCCAGGCGCTGTGCTCTGGGATCACTCCTGGGTGGGCTGGGAGGATCATCTGGGGTGCTGGTGATCAAACCCAGATCGGCCATGTGAAACGCAAGGGCCTTACCCATTCTACCATTGCTCTAGTCCCTTCCCTGCGTGCTGTTTTATACTGTATTGTAATGTGTTTGTTTCTTTTCCTATCAGAAATATCTTGATATATCGAAAGTGGTATCCTTTGCATCATTTTAAGTGATTCATATTCCAATATATGAATGTTTTCAGAGAATGTACAAGCCTGTCCAAAATGTTATCCTTTTTTTACTTTTAAGTATTGTATGCTTCTTTTATAACATTAAAACATTTTTTAATCGAATCACAGACACACAATTACAAGGTTGTTCATGATTGAGTTTCAGTCATATGACCATCCTTTCACCACTGTACAGTTCCTACCACCAGGGTCCCCAGTTTCCCTCCCCCCCACCCCCCACCTGCCTCAACAGGCACTTCTCTCTATCCTCACTATTCCCCCCCTCCCCTTTTGGGCATTATGGTCTGCAATACAGATACTGAAAGGTTGTCATGTATATCTCTTTACCTACTTACAGCAGTCAGAGAATTCTTAAATCTCATACTTTAAAACACTATTTTACCTTCCCATCGTTCGCTCCTAGATGTGTGTGTTTGTATATGGAAACTCTTTAAAAAAACAAACTTGCTCATAAATCAAAGAGGAATGTTTAGAAGCCTTTCCTGCGTACTCAGAAGATCGAGGGGCTGTCCTATTGGGGTTTGTTAAATTTCTCTGAGCATGATCTGAGATAAGGGGGTGGGAGAGGAGAAAAGAAGGCTGTGGGCCTCACATTCTCCCCCCCCCCCCCCCCCCCGCCTCTCCCCAGAGCTGACCGACCGGATGAAGGGGAAGCTGCAGCCACGGGCCAAAGGGGTCAGGAGTAGGTTGCGGGTGGCAGCAGAGAGATTGTGCGCAGAGGAAATCATTTATCCTCTCTAGGGAGGAGGTGAACCTGAGGCCATCAGGAGTTTTCAGCCTCTCGCATTAGTGACTCTTGGAGGATGCCTGAGAGAGAAAAGCTCTGGTGATGGCGGAAGGAAACTAAGAATTCCTTTATCAGATGGCTCCCCTGAGGCCCCTGCCAGCCAGGAATCTGGCGATTTCCTAGGGCTCTTTGCAGTGTGGTGTTAGCAGCAAGCCCTGAGCTTGGGGCCATGCCATGATGGGCTGGAAGCAGGGCTGGCAGGGCACAGGGTGGGTGGAGCGCAGCTACTGTGGAAGGCCAGTGCATGGACTGCGTTCTGGTGCTCGGCTGCAGAAGGCTCAGCCGTGCTGGAACTCATGCCTTCCCCTACAGTCCCCGCAGTGGCCCCAAAGTCAGTGGCCTCCTTTACAGCCATTTCTACATCCCTGTCCTCTTCGAGCCCATGTGCCATTCACACTGGTACAAAACATGTAAGAAAAACCTTATTCTGAGCCACAGAAATAATAGTACAGGGGTTGTATGCAGCTGACCCCAGTTCCATCCCTGGTACCACGTTGGGTTGTCCAAACTCCGATAGGAATGATTCCAGGTGTGATCCAGTTCCCCTGCCTACCCCCAAAATGAGAAAATTCAACAGTTATACACGGCATATAAAGAAACAAAAGGAATGAACAATGGCACATAAAAGCAAACACATTCAGGGGCCACAGTGATAGTACAGCAGTTAGGACACTTGCCTTGCAGCTGACCTGGGTTCGTCCTCCCTTCCCCCCCCAATCCCATATAGTCCCCTGAGCATTGCGAGTATGGCCCAAAAAACAAAAAACAACTCCAGCAACAGAACTGAGGTTACCAAGAGGCCCACGTTAGTACGACCATAATATATATATATATATATATATATATATATATATATATATATATCTGTACACACGAGGGCTGGAGAAATAGCTCGAGGCTGGAGTGGATGTTTTCCTTGGGGGAGGCTCAGGTTTGGTTTCCGCAAGCATCAACACCTAGGTATGGCCCAAAACCTGAGAAGGAAGAACATGAACACCCAGGCTGGTGTTCACCGGGTGCCCCCTGCCTCCCCCTCTGCCTCGCCTCGCAGGGTTCTGGCTGGTGTGGACCATCATCATCATCCTGAGCTGCTGCTGCGTCTGCCACCATCGCAGAGCCAAGCACCGGCTCCAGGCCCAGCAGCGCCAGCGTGAGATCAACCTGATCGCCTACCGGGAAGCTCACAGCTTCTCGGCACTGCCCTTCTACTTCAGTACGTACCCGCGGGATGCAGCAAACCCGCATGTCAGGACGCCCTCTTCTACTGGGCAGGGAGTGGTGTTAGAACTGGAGCGGGGAACCTCCTGAGAGCAAGCACTTGCGGTGCCCCAGGGCTCCCCCAACCCTACAGATGCGCAGGACTCGGCATCACTGGGCAATCCGTAGCATCCTGGAGCGCGCGCGCATGCGCACTCGTGGCGGCTCAGCGAGCGCGCTTGGTCACCATGCGGCATTTTCGGTCCCGGTGCAGTGCGCTCGGTCCCCGTGCCGTGTTTTCAGTCCCCGTGTGGCGTGCTCGGTCACGATGCGGCGCGCTCGGGTCCCCGTGCTGCGCGCTCGGTCCCTGTGCCGTGTTTTCGGTGACCGTGCGGCGCGCTCAGGTCCCCGTGCGGCGCGCTTGGTCCCCGTGCGGTGTTTTCGGTCCCCCTGTGGCGCGCTCGGGTCCCCGTGCGGCGCGCTCGGTCCCCATGCGGTGTTTTTGGTGACCGTGCGGTGTTTTTGGTGACCGTGCGGTGCACTCGGTCCCGTGCGGCGCGCTTGGTCCCCGTGCGGTGTTTTCGGTCCCCGTGTGGCGCGCTCGGTCACGATGCAGCGCGCTTGGTCCCCGTGCGGTGTTTTCGGTGACCGTGCGGCGCTCTTGGTCCCCGTGCGGCGCGCTCGGTCCCCATGCGGTGTTTTCGGTCACCGTGTGGCACGCTCCGTCCCCATGCGGTGTTTTTGGTCACCGTGCGGTGTTTTTGGTGACCGTGCGGTGCACTCGGTCCCGTGCGGCGCGCTTGGTCCCCGTGCGGTGTTTTCGGTCCCCGTGTGGCGCGCTCGGTCACGATGCAGCGCGCTTGGTCCCCGTGCGGTGTTTTCGGTGACCGTGCGGCGCTCTTGGTCCCCGTGCGGCGCGCTCGGTCCCCATGCGGTGTTTTCGGTCACCGTGTGGCACACTCCGTCACCGTGCGGTGTTTTTGGTGACCGTGTGGTGTACTCGGTCCCGTGTGGCGCCCTCGGTCCCGTGCGGCGCGCTTAGGTCCAGGGGCGTTTTGGTGACAGCCCACCCACCTCCCCCACGGTCGGGTGAGGTTGGCTGGCCTTTCCAGACCCCCACCGGTTGCATTCGGGAGAAGACCCTCTACTTCTTGCCTAGATCTGGGGGTCGCGGGTTGGGCAGGAAGTCCGGGGACCCTGAGCCTGACCGGAAGGGCTCCTCCCGGGCGGAAACCGGCTCCTGGTCACCCCCGACTTCCCCAATTCGTGCTCGGTTCCTACCCGGGAAGCCGCTTTGTACCATCCGCCCGCGCGCAGCGGGACCCTCCGCTCCAGCCTCCTGGGGCACAGACAGGGGTGGGCGTCTGGGTGTGGGGAGAGAGTCTGTGCGCCGGGAGCCTGGCGGGTGGCCAGTGTGGTGACTTCTCCTCCTGCCTCTCCCCTGTAGGGTTTTTGCCAAACTATTTACTACCTCCTTATGAGGAAGTGGTGGACCGGCCTCCGACTCCTCCTCCGCCCTACAGTGCCTTCCAGCTCCAGCAGCAGCTCTCGCCCCCGTGCGGCCAGGCGGGCGCTAGCCCCCCTGCCGCTGCCGAGCCCAGCAGGGACCCCCCGGCGGTGCAGGGCAGCCCCCGGGCAGCACCCAGCCGGAGCAGCACCAGACCCCCGAGCACCGCCGACCCTGAGCCGTTCGACATGCCAGCCGCTCCAGCCGCCGCCAAACCCCCCGCCCCGGAGCCCAGCGGCTCGGCCAGCCCCGGGGCCAGCCTGGATGCCGAGGCCGGGAGCCCCGAGGAGGAGGAGCTGCTGCGGGACCCCGGCTCCGAGCCGGGCGGTGCCCTCCCCGACGCCAAGGACAAGACGCCGGGCCGCCACCGCCGCTTCACCGGCGACTCGGGCATCGAGGTGTGCGTGTGTAACCGAAACCACGCCGATGACGACGACGACGACGACCTCAAAGAGTTCAGCGCCCTCATCGATGACGCGCTGGACGGGCCCCTGGGCTTCTGTGACAGCTGCCACGTGCGACCCCCCTGCGACGAGGAGGAAGGCCTGTGCCAGCCCCCCGAGGGGCAGGCCCCCGAGCCCGGGCACCCGCACCTGCCCCGGCCACCCGCCGGCCTGCTGCTGAACACCATCAACGAGCAGGACTCCCCCAACTCGCAGGGAAGCGGCTCCCCCAGCTAGAGCAGGCCCTGCCTGGCCCCCCACCGGGAACCCCCCCCTGGAGCGGCAAGAGAAGCATTAGGTGACTTTCCCGAGAACGTGGCCCAGCCGCTCTGTTCTTTGGTTTTTGGTTTTTGGTTTTGTTTTGGTTTTTTCTCCCCTCTCCTCTCTTGCATTTTTCTACATCTCCAGGTGCCGCTAGGTGGGTCCAGCTACCTTCCGGCCCCGAAGCACAGATCGTGGAGGGCTGAGAAGTCGGTTCCCTGACTCATTCCTCAGCCCCACGACTTCCCCGCCCTCTCCCCATTTCAAATTGTATCTCAGAACCTGCTCCCTGGAGAGTGTGCTGTGTGTGTGTGTGTCTGTGTGTCAGAGCGTCCGAGCCCAGGAGGATGGGCAGAGACGGTGCCCACAGGTGCCTCTTGCAGAGCTGTGGTCTGTGCTCTGGGGTGAGCCTGCCGGGAGACTCTGGCTGTATCCCGGCCTGGAGAGGCCTGGGTGAAGAAGGGGGCCCGCGGAGGCGTGGCCCGGGTGCCTCACCCCATGCCCTGACCAACCCTCGAAGGTAGCTGGGGGTCGGCCTGCTCCCTCTGAGTCTCCCTGTGTCCAGGAGGGCCCCCTGCCAGCAGGTTCTGGCTGGTGGCCATCCAGGAGATACAATTATTTCACTGCCTTCTTTTTTGGATTTTCTTTTTAAAAAATGAAACAAAAGCGAGCTGAAAACAAGGTCCTTCCCACTGGGAAGGCTTCACCCAGCCGATCGTCCTGGGAGAGGGATGCGAGCACTCTCCCCGGAGCTGGCCGCAGGGAGCTTGGCCCAGTGGAGCTGGAAGGAGGTGCTTGCCCGTAGGTTCTGAAGGGAGACTGTGGGGCTCTGGCCGTCGCTCTGCACCTCTGTTCTGTGTCCCCCGGGGCCTACGCCTCCTGCTCCCCAGCACGGCCTGCGGGCCTTTGTCACCCTGTTCTCGGGGAACAGACATGAGGCTCTGTGGGTCTTGAGAAAGGGTGGCCCAGAGCTGAGCCCTCACATGGGATGTTCTCGCTGATTCTCAAGTTGTTTTCTTGTTCGTTTGTTTTAAACTGACCAGCTTGAAGGTGGGGCAGGTCTTGGATATGTGTGGTTTCCCTGCTCCTCCCTTCACTGCCCGCAGCCCTTTCAGAGTGTTACGGAGCCTCTGTGAAGAGGCCCAGCGGCTCAGGTCGGAGGAGGGGATGCACTGCAGGATGCCCAGGGCCCGAGAGGGTTTGCAGTTAGCTCTGATGGCAAGAATCTCAACAGAGCAAGTTGATGGCTGAAAAGAACATTCCCTGTCCCGCCTGTTCCCCACTCCTGAATGGAGAGACTCAGACTAGACATTGATGTTATGGTAAGAAAGGGGGAAACATTATATATATATAAATACAGACACATACACACAAATAGACACATCCAAGGCTGTGAGGTAAACAAATGTCTGTATTTGGGTTCCACAAAACCAAAACCCCTTGTTGAACAAAGTGAAGCTTGTATCTGATGACTCTTTCGGGTGATGTGTGTGCGCGTGTGCGTGTCATGGCGGTGCCCCCCGCCCTGTTCTCCTGTGAATATACTTTGAGTGGCCGCCGTGCAGCACCCACCGACCCCACGTGGCCCTTTCAGGGTCATTTATTTTACACACTTACTGTTTACGGAACAAATGTGGGCCCGGGCACCTTCAGTGACCTCGTGGACGGCAGCCCCCCCTGTGCCCGCCAGAGAGCCTGGCTCTGCGTAGAGATTTTACTCTACCCATCACTGCGGTTTGCACGTTGCTCTGGGGGACCCCCAGCCCCACCCCATCCCGGAGGCCTGTGTCCTGTCCCCTATGAATGGGAGCGTGCTCTAAACCTTTCTGCCTTCCACAGTGACTCCAGGTCCCCTGGGGGTGCCTACCCTCTCCCGGGATCGGAAGTGATGCTAGAACACCAGGCAGAAGAGTGATTGGCTTGTCTGGGACAAGGCGGGCCTCACTGGGGCTCAGACAGGACCCCGCCCAGAATTGCCAGGCAGGGGGTGTTCCTGCCTGCCCTTCTGCACTGAGGCCTGGGCTCCCTGAGCCAGCCTGTGGCGAGACCAGGAGTGGGCCTGCTCCTTTGGCCTTGACCAGAAGAATTCCCACGTGACTGCTGCGTCTCAGAGGACATCCGTTGTACCGAAACAAGTCCTTCAGTTAGTTCACTGATCACCTGGACGAACCTGAGCCTCCCCAGCGTGCAGGGGCAGGGGACCCCCATCTCAGTGCTCACTGTCGGCTGCACCCCGAGGAGGAGGAGAGCCCAGAGCTGGGCTTCCTTCCAGCCGCACGCACCCAAGATGTGACCCCAGCCCAAGAGTCTCCCCTGCGTGGACTGACACTGAGATGAGTGCTCGAAGGACTCCCCAGGGGCCAGGGACCTCGGGGAGCTTGCCAGCGCCGCCACATTCCTGTCGGAGGTACACCCCTGTGCCGGGCCTTGTGAATACGTGTATCTTAAGCAATAAGATTCAGCTGGCCAGACTTGACTTGGGCAGCCTGGGTGACGCATTTCCTGTGCTGTGATTGTCCTGAAGACCGAGTGGCTGTAACCACTGTGAGAAGCCTCAATAAAATCAAATCCCCCAAATGCTGCCGCTGCTCCTTTCCTATCTTTTCCTCTCAAGAGTGTCTCTCTCGGGGCTGGAGCGATATAGCACAGCAGGTAGGGCGTTTGCCTTGCACGCGGCTGACCCAGGTTCGAGCCCGCGCCCCCGCCCACCCACTATATTCACTTTTCTCTTTTCCTTTGAACATCTAGGGCGTGTCCTACCTTCAGGTCCCAAACTGAGAGTCCCTTCCATTCCCCTCTCCACACAGAGGCCCTCCTGGGAGAGGAATGAGGGAGAGCCAGCTCCTGCACCCCCAAAGCTTGGAGGCTACGTTCTGTTCTAGGAATCTTCCCAGAACCACTCCACCCCTGTAATGTTTAGGCTGCTTGGTTAAATCTCACAAACAGGTCACAGTCAGACCCCTGGAAAGTAAGAACAGGTTCTGTCGGGTACCCCAAAGCTAGAACCTGAAGTTTGAAAGGCCCCCCTACCCTGGGCTCCTGGTAAGAATTCTGAGTGATGGGGTTCCCCACCCATCCTTGTCCAGTCGTGTGTGTGTGTGTGTGTGTGTGTGTGGGGGCGGGCCTGGAGAGTCAGCCCATGACACTCATCTTGGCGAGACGCCCCCTGGTGTCCAGCGTGCTGGCTGCTCGGGAGAAAGTGAGCTGGGCCTCAGGATCACAGGAGGACAAATAGGCCACAGTGTGCTCAGGCATCCCAAGCCCTTTGTATCTTTTCCTCTCAAGAGTGTCTCTCGGGGGGGAGGGGGGACTGGAGAGATAGCACAACGGGTAGGGCGTTTGCCTTGCACGCGGCCGACCCGGGTTCGATTTCCAGCATCCCATATGGTCCCCTGAGCACCGCCAGGAGTAATTCCTGAGTGCAGAGCCAGGAATAACCCCTGTGCATCGCCAGGTGTGACCCAAAAAGCAAAAAAAAAAAAAAAAAAATAAGAGTGTCTCTTGGGCTGGAGCGATAGCACAGCAGGTAGGGCGTTTGCCTTGCATGCGGCTGACCCGGGTTCGATCCCCAGCATCCTGTATGGTCCCCCAAGCACCGCCAGGAGTAATTCCTGAGTGCATCAACGGGTGTGACCCAAAAGCAAAAAAAAAAAAAAGGTCAAGGAACAGGCTGGAGAGAGAGCACTGGGGTCAAACTGCTTGCTTGTATGCAGACCACCCCAGTTCTAACCCAGGCACTGAGTAAGGGCAGGTCCCCGGAGTTACTTCCTGAGGACAGCCCAGCTGGACCTGCCCACACCCCCAAGGGGTGAGGGGTGGTGTAACCCCCATCCCCTGCCCTGCCATTAAAAAAGTCAAGAAAAGGCCAGAGAGAGTTCAAGGCACAGTTCAAGTGCTTAGGCACAGGCTTTGTGTGTGTGTGTGTGTGTGTGTGTGTGTGGTGGGAGTTGGGGGGCAGGCAGTTCTTTCCTGGCACCACCGGACCCCTGAGCACCACCAGTTGACCTGAGCAATGAGTTAGGAAAAGTTTTTGAGTCGGAGGTGTGACCCCCAAAATGAATTGCCCAGGGTTAGTCTGTAGACATTGCTAGAAATATTATTAGAAGTCAATTTACTACGACTATTTAATTGCATTACTTGCTGAGGATAGAAGAAAGCAACACATCCTGAATGGAACCCCACCCTTGAGCCTTTTACTGGGTCCGCTCGAGCAAATCGATGAACAACGGGAGGACAGTGCTACAGTGCTACAGTCTATAGACGCCACATGCCCCTGGAGAAGCTGCCTCCACAGTCTGACCACCCCTTTTGCCCCGCCAGGTGGACCATGGCTGCCCACCACCCTTCTCTTCATCCTCGCCAGAGCCTCCCAGATAACAGCACAGGTGGGACGTCCCCCCAATTTACCCATGAGAAAATGGGTTTGAGAGGCTAGGAGTCAGGTCTCAGACCAGAAGCAGGTCCCCCTTGGTCCTCTTCCTGCCCCGCCCTCCAGGAACAGGATGAGGTCATCGTGCTCTTTGATGCCTGCAAGAGTGACCAGAAAGAGCTAGTGACCGTTTGCCTCAGGTTTGTGGCCACCACTGGCTAACCAGAACATTCACGAACTTTCACCCACCACATTCCAAGAAGGGCCCCTTCCACTCTGAGTGGGATCTCTGAGGACCGCCCTCCGCGAGGAAGGGCCCATCTCCCTGTGCTCACGTTTGCAATGTTTGGTGGGCAAGCGTTTCAAATGGCGGAGAGATAGGACAGGGTAGGGCACTGGCCTTGCACATGACTGGTCCAAGTTTGATCCCTGACACCCTATAGGGTTCCCCAAGCCTCGCCAGGAGTGAACCCTGAGTGTAGCGCCAAGAACAAGCCCTGAGCATTGCTAGCTGTGACCCAAAATCCAAAAGCAAAAGATGCAGGGCACCATGTTAAACTTCAAAGATGGGGAGAGTGTGTGTGTGTGTGTGTGTGTGTGTGTGTGTGTGTGCGCGCGCGTGTGCATCCCTGAGGGTTCAGGTGCCCAGATGCACGGGGGGGTCAGCAGCAGGAGGAGGCGCTGCTGGAGGACTGCAAGTCATGAGGGGCAATCTGGGGCCTGATGGAGGTGTGTCAGGGTGGAGACAGGCCTTCCTAGGACAGGAGGAGGGTGGCAGGACTCCGCACACTTGTGGCCCCTCACGGGGACCCCACAGCCCTGAAGCCCTGCCCTGCCCAGCCCTCGCTCGCTCGGTCCCCTCTAGTGACAGGAAAGGGCTTGTTTCCCTTCCCCCTCCAAGGCACATCCATGGCCTGAGATTGTCCCCAAGTCCGTCGTACTCACCCACAGCTTTGCAGGAGACTCAGCCCGCAGCTAATGGCCTTCACTGAAGGCCTCTCTCCCCTCCTCCACCCCGGCAAATGTGGGTCACTGACTCCCCTCCGGTCCACCTGCTCCCAGCTGGGGGTGGAGAGAGGCTGGGACAGAAGGACAGGGACTTCCAGGTTAACCCTTTCCTGTACACTCGCTGTGGGGTCAGCATCTCCCTATACCTCCCCCCTACCTCCCTCTCCCACCCCCGACACACAGTGGCCCACGGATCCTCCTAAACTAGAGGCTCTTGGACAAGATCCCGGCTCACTGGCCAGCACAAGCCAGGACTAAACTGGTTTGCTTTTACACGCCAGGCAAATGCCTTTACCTTCTCTCTCTCTCTCTTACTGATCTTTCTCAAACAGAAACCAGATCTCCCCTCTTACAAGCCTAAACCCTCTGGTGACTTCCTACCATTTTGGATGAAAACCTCAACTCGAGCTGGGGAGACAGCTCAGGAATTAGAGGTGCATGCCTTCTTGCACAGGGCCCCACATTCCATCCCCGGCACTGGCATGATGTCCCCAAACCTGAGTGTTGATCTGTCTAGCCCAGCTGGCTGAGTATTTCCTGGAAATCGACCCTGGGCCCCCTAGGTACTGCTGAGGGGGTCCCCCATCCAAGACAAAACAAAAGGACCCCTCAATTCCCTGCTGTCTCCAAAGATGCCATGGGACCAGGTCCCTCTCGAGAACGTCAGCAGGACCCTGCCCCTTTGCTGGCTCTGTGTCCACCCTCCTGGCCTCTCTGGCTGCTTCTCAGAGCGGACACACCCCCAGGGCCACACCTCCCCTTGGCTCCCATCACCCTCCATGAATAACGGGAGAATGGTCGAGGGGGCTTCTGAACTCACATTTATTTGTGGGATTTTACAGGAATGTGGTCCTTCCACCATGCGGGAGGGGGAGCGGGTGACACCCGGCAGGCCAGGCGCCGGACAGAGATTGGCAGCAAGAACGTAGCCGTGTTAGACGAACCAAGAAGTGAGTGCAAG